ACCGATCTTCATCATATTCCGTGTGAGCCTCCGGGAGCACGCCGGGAAGGAGGAGGCCTGGTCCAGACCGAACCGGCCCCTCGTCACATTCTCACTTGAGACCCAGCCAACACCGACGGTCACTCAGACATGGGCGTCAGGCGAGAGTTTTCTCAAAAGCGAACACGGTTGGCACTTTGCTTTAAGGCAAACGACCCGACGTGTTTGCTGATGGCAAGATGTCAGCTTCCCAGCCAGCGTTAGAACTTGGAAAGCTCGTACCGGCCTGGGCTGTCCTCCGCTTCCCACTTTTCTGAGCAGGTTGGGGGTGATGCTGACGACTGGGCTTCGTGCTGTTGCATAAAGAAACAAGCAGGCACTTGGCGGATCCAGCCCGTCAAAGTGGCTCGTGGCGTGGCTCCAGAGTCCACGTGGCGGCCGGCCCCTGAGAACCTAGAATTTATCACAATTTGTGTGGTTTCAAAGAATACTCACAATTATCTGAGAAGACTAACACAGTGCTCCTCTCTTCCAACTAAATATTTGGGATAGAGATGAGATTCTGACCAGTAAGCCAGACATAAAAGAGATTGTTCTCGCTAAAAACGTTTTGTTATGTTTCATAAAAGGTTGCTTATGCTAACACTTAAAGGGTCTATCATTGTTACTTTTAAATGAATCAATCAACCAATGTTTTTCAAATTTCTCAGCTTTAATTGCTACTATAATATGTCTCAATAGGTGCACCCCACATGCACAAAAGCTCTTGGGGGTCCTCAGTAACTTTGAAAGGTGTTCTGAGACCGAAACAAATAATAACTGCTTAGCCCAAGTTGGCAATTTCTAAGAGGCCTATTTATTAATAGAGGAAATGTTCAGTCTGTTTCCCCCACGTGATGGCTGGAAAGTGCCTTCTAGAAAGTGAGATGGGGCGGTCTTTCTGTGGATGTAGAAGAGCATCTCCCGAGGCCTGCCTGGAGGAGTTGGCACTGTGAGTTCTGCACTGAAGGCCAAGCTCCTGTCTTTGCCTCCCCGGGTTTTGTGCTGGTCCCACTCACAGACCCCTTCGGCTTCTGTCCAGATTCTGGTCTGAAACGGAAGCAGGCTTCGTTCAGCCCCTCCCCCAGACAGCCATCTCCCTGCCTCCAGGCCCTTCGAGTGCCTATGTTTTCATTTAACAAAACATAATCTGATTCAGCAACTATCCACCGGGCATCTGTTGTGCTGTGCTGTCTCGGGGGACTGCAAATGCATGGTAACTCGCTTCCTTGATTAAAGAGCCCGTCTCGACCGGCGTGATTGTCATGTTTCTGAGCTGTCAGGAAACCCTGAACGCGGCCGTGACTTTCACACGGGGATGGTGAGCGTTCAGCAGGGTTTCCAGGCAGAGCATCGTCTCTGGGTCGAGTCCGGGGGCAGGGCTCCGGGTGTGAGGAGTGACAAGGTAGCCGGTGTGTCAAACGCAATTGAAGCATCTGCATCGGGGATGCCAGACTGTGAGCCATTGCAGGACACGGCAGATGCTTTTTATGTAGGAAATCAGCTTTGAGTCAAGACGGTGACCAGCAAAACCAGCCAACGACTCAAATCTGGCGGGGGGGGGGGGGGGGGGC